CCTGTATTGTTTCCTAGTTTTTATTAAAGTTCCTTCCCATTAAAGTCTCCTATGTTTTGTGTTGATGCGGCGGATGGCAGAACCCATTTAGAATAGGCAGGTTTGCGGGGTTTGGGCTGCCCCTCTCCCTGTCCTATAACAGTACCAAACTAGTGATAACCAGAAAGGAAGTAGGTAAGTTGGGTAAAATGGGTTACTTTAAGGCAGTAAATACAGATGTTAACTTACAATTTTGCACAACTGAAACTTAGTTACTTCTGTAAACAAATTTAAAATTTAAACAGTACCTATAATTAAAAAAAAAAAAAAAGATGACTTCAGAGTTAACTGAGTAACCAAATGGATAGAGTTACAATTATTGAGAGGTTGGGGGTAGGTAAGATCAGTTCAGTTTTGCACAAGTGGTTTGAGATGCCTACATTTAGAATTAACTAGCATTTCCTATATTTGAGAAATAAAGGACAGTATCCCCAGAACATTCGAAAAAGTGTTAGACCCTGGAGATTCTTTACTTCCCCGTCAGTATGTACATCTCCTTTGTTGCTTACATGGCTTTCTTGGTACTAAAATCTTCCCAAGCGTTCTGCCTGACCCCTTAAAAACAGATGCTATCCTGCACAGCAGTGCAGAACTGGATTTAAAATCAAGTTCTGCCACACTAGCTGGGTGACCTCAAGTAAGCAAAACCAGGCCTGATCTGTAAAGTGGGAATATAGTCACCAACCCAACAGATTTAACAACCCTGTGTAACTCCGTAATCAGTTCATTTCCCCTACAGAAGACAAAATCTCATTGTTGAGTTTTGGTGTAGTCTTTATTTTTTTTTTAAAGATTTATGTATGCATACAAGAACTGGGGTACAGGCCAGAGGAGTGGGGGGGTGAGGATTCACCAGAGACAGAGTGGGGAACACAGCAGGCAGATAACTGAAATACACTGCTGAGGGGAGCAGCAGGCAAGGCAGGAGAGGTCTGCTGCGCCATGTGGGTAGCTCCCTGGCTGGGGATCGAACTTGTGCTGCAGAGGCTGTGGATAGCTTCATAGGTTGCGTCTTAATCCCTTGTGCCACCAGGGAGGCCCCTTTGGTGTAGTCTTTAAAAGGACGAGGAGTGGGAAACTAGTAGTCTTTCTCAGTGCCAGTCTTCCATTTTTGCCTTCTCCTTGCCTTTGACTCCTTTACAGGATTTACAAATTCCACACCTTTTCCTTTCCCTTTTTTTTTTTTTCCAACTTTCCTTCCACAATCTTCACACTTTCTCCTTTTCCTTCCTTCCAATCTGATTGACTATCCTATCCCAATATGAGATTCATTCCTGTAGGAAAACAGCCACAACATCAAAACCTAAATTTCTTGCTTATGTTTACTATTTATCAGTCTGGGAAGACTTTTATATAGAAAAACAGGGAAAGGACAGACAAGCCTCCCCCAACCCCCTCCCCACAACAAACTAAGCATATTTGTGGAAGTTGAACGATTAAGACTTTCACCAATTGTAAAGTTTACTGTCTTCTGTATAGATTTGTCATAGATCTTCACTTGACTGGTACAAAGGCAAAACAAAATATGCATAAATCCATGGCCATATTATGACTAACAATATTCTGTGTACAAAGTGGTAGAATGAAAAAATGATCTAACCTAATCAAATGTTTCTACTTGTAAAGAGCAAACAAACAAAAATACCCAAAAAACTAAGGGACAGTTATAAAGAATGGAACAGTCTGTTCTTTGCCTGTGGGTAGCTGGACACAATCCAAGGGGTTAGGAAATTCATGAACAGTTCAGTCACAATCAAGGTGAAATTCAAAGTGTGTAACTTCAAAGACTGGGAGAAGTGCACCCACATATTCCTGTACCTTTAGATGGAACTTAAATCATTCCAGAGAATGATTTAAAACAACAGAATCATTATCTTGATATGTGAACTCCAGTCTGTCATTCAAAGCATTTGTTCATGGACTCTGAATAGTCACAAAGCCAAATCAAAAGCAGTTATCTGCTTAGAATTCAAAGAATTTACCCAGCATTGAGCAAACATAGGGGTTGGGATGATACACCCTCATAAAACACAATTTGCTTTTTAAAAATGTGTAAGTTTCATCTTCTGACTTTGGGAAATGTAATGACCATGTTATTTACTTTCTGACAAGGTTCTAAGTCATACAGTAACTTCCTTCATAGCAACCATGAAATTAGGTACAAATATCCAAACTGGTACAGGAAAAAAGGTAAGTAATTTGTTCAAGGTCATACAGCAAGTGATTGCTGGAGCAGCAAAGCATGATGGGACAACTAATGCAAAGAATGCAAGCAAGTTCCATTGGCAGCAGTAAGGTAACTTGAGGGAACATCCTTCCACACTTTGCTAGTTACCAAAAAATAAAAATAAAAAATAAATAAATCTGATACAACTATATGTTCATGTTCTTTTTCTAAGTCCAAAGTGGTATTATTTTAGCACAATGCTTTCAAAAAACCACCCAACTTATCTCAGCATTTTCCTTGTGAAAATATTCCCATGAGAAGAAATGTTAATAGGAAACACAAGAGGGATGACATAATCCTCCATGTAATTTGTTCTTTTCACACAAGAGGTTACATGGTGAGTGTAGTAGAACCAAGAACTGCCAGAAAATCGAGTTTGAATTGATTCCTCCCTGTGAGCCTCTGATATGTCCAGATGAAGTATTTCTAGTCCCAATGCTTAAGCAGATGGAAAATCCATATGTGAATAGCTCCCTCAACCCCAGGTGAAGCAAAGGTATCTGGAGCCATGATTAAAGCACTCTTCTTTGCTGACTCTTTTTTTGTTTAATTTTTTAAAAAAAGATTTATTTATGCATCCAGGAACTGGAGTACAGGCCAGAGGTGAGTGAGGTGAGAGGATTCACCACAGACAGAGTGAGGAAAAGAACAGGTGGATTGACTGAAATACACTGCTGAGGGGAGCAGCGGATGAGTCAGGAGAGGTCTGCTGCACCATGTGGATCACCTCCCTGGCTGGGATTGAACTTGTGTTGCAGTGGCTGCGGATAGCTTCATAGTCCTGAGACTTAACCCCCTGTGCAGTAGGGAGGCCCAATCTTGAGCCTTCCTTTTACACACATAGCCATTCAGGTCTTTACATATACTTACCAGGTATTTCATATGAAGCATTTAATATCAATTAAAAGTAATAATTAACATTGTATATTAATTAAAAATTGATTCATAAGGTTGTACACCTAAAACCTAAACACAGTTTATAAAAAATACTTAAAGTGCACTCAAAATTATATTTTATTAATATTAGGAGAGTAATCCGACCTTATCCAAGTCCTTGATTTATTAACAAAGTCAACCTAGAATGGAAGTATAGAACCTAATATTCCCACAGAACAGGCCAAGATTCTAATCCTAGAATCCTAGTGTGTGACAATGAACCAGTTAATCTACCAATTCATTAATTTCTTGTGAAATGAGAATTAGAAATTGCTACATGTCAACAGACTATTTTTTTTTTAATTTTTTTTTTTTAAATTTTTTTAAAAGATTTATTTATTTATTTATACAAGCACTGGGTACAGTCAGAAGCGCGGGAGGGTGAGAGAATTCACCAGAGCCAGAGCGGGGAGCAGAGCAGGCAGAAGGACCGAAGGTCAAGGACCGAAGGTCACTGCTGAGGGGAGCAGCGGGCGGCAGGAGAGGTCTGCGCGCCATGTGGGACCCTCGCCCCGTGGCCGGGGAGCAGCCGGGGATTGAACCGGTGCTGCAGAGGCTGCGGGCAGCTTCGCAACCCAGCGCTCAACTGCTGCGCCACTGGGGAGGCCCTCAACAGACTATTTTAAGGATAAAATATTTTGTGTGTATATGACATAAGCAAAATTTATTTTAAAAAATACAAAGCATAGATGACAAAACATTAACACCTATTATTTTTGTGTGGTGGTTGCATGTATGTTTATAGTTCTTTAAGTTTTCAAAATAAAGAAAATATCTGCTTTTAATATGGAATTACAAATGAAAAGGAATCACTTTCTGCAGTGGACCATTATCAGGTGGACAATATATTACCACAACAAAAATTTTTGGAACAATGGTTTATAACAGAAAGCAGAATGCAAACATAAGAACCACAAAAGGTAAGGGATGGAAAAGACCTTTGAAGACTACTCTAAACCTTTTTCCTGACTAGAAAGCTGCCTAAGTGAGTTTTTTTTTCCCCTTAAGATTTATTTTAGCTATTTATGCATACAAGAACTAGGGTGCAGGCCAGAGGTGTATGGGGCGAGAGGATTTACCAGAAACAGAGTAGAGAGCAGAATAAGCAGATCTATTGAAATACACTGCTGAGGGGAGCACTGGGAGAGACAGGAGAGGTCTTTTGTGCCACGTGGGTCAGCTCCTGGGCCTGGGAACAAACCCATGCTGCAGTGGCTGGCGATAACCTGACAGCGCTGAGATCCCAACCCCTGTGCCACCAGGGAGGCCCCTACATGACTTTTCAAAGTTACATCCAGGTAGTTAATGCCAACCCACCAGAAAAACCTGATACTGGCCCCTGAAGTGGTCTTTAGATAAGTACCACATTCGAAAATGATTTTTTTTATTCCAAAGTCCAATGTTATGGCACAATTACAATGCAAACACATGCTGTTTGATTTTCTTCATTCAGATAAATAGTTTTATCAGAACACTGGTAAACTTGCCTTTACAGACTGAATACACTGACTTCCAAAAACAAAGAATTTTAATTTAACGCACAAAAATCAGTTCACTGCTCAATAGAGTCCTTTAGGTATGAATCCAAAAGGTATGAAAATCATAAACTATTACCCTTTTGTATTATGTGCATATGTAGAAAATTAAGAATGTCTTCAATTTGAAGAAATTAATCAGTGTCATAAATGAAAACATGATTAAAAAACTTATCTTTGGATAATGATTCAGACTTATATATAAACATTTTAAAATTAAGTGTCTGAATTGCCTTTTAATGACTAATTGAAAGCTTATTCAAAAAATTCTCAAAAGAATTCTAAATAGGGGCAGTGGTAGTCATAATAAACTTGGTTAGCTATATGCCCAGTATTACCAGCTAATTTTCTTTACTAATAAAATCTTTTTTTTAAATACTGAGAATAAGGACACCATTTGAAATAATCTGGTATTTTATGGTATTGCATTCTATTTCCAGAACAAATCACACTTCTTATAACCAAAGGATTGTGAAACTACCAACCAACACAGCACCCAAAATAGATTAAAACAATAACAGATACTACTGCTGGATGTAGTTTCCCATTATTTAGTATTAAATAGCACTAATGACATCAAACAGGTATACTGTAGAAAGAAAACACCAGTTTTAATGCCTTATAGTGAAATATGTACAGAGCTTAAACATTCAAGTCACAATCAGATTATAAATGTAATAGGATACTCTGATGTAATGAAAAAGACTAGCTGGTTAAAAAAATACATGTAAACCACAGAGGATAAAAAGTATTTAAAATATACAACAAAATTCTAACCAGGTTTAAACTTTGATTTTAAAAAGGTATGTATTTACAGTCTTTAAATTTCACATATTTGTTGCTTTTACATGATTTGTTTCTTTTACAGGATTGCATAAAACAGTAAAAAGTTCTTTTAACAATTTTTGTACACAAAAATCAATAAGGAGATTGGTAGAATGCAATATCCTTAGTAGCTAAAATCAGAAAGGCCAGGGGCTATTAACGGAGTCATAAAACATACTTAACCAAAACTGTAACCAAGGAAGCAAGCAGTTTCACTTCAGAGACGTCACTGAAGGGACCCAGTTTCCCTATTTGAAAAGGAATTATTATAAGTTACAGTTATCTGAAGGGAGGATTCTGGGAGGATTAAAGGAGATCACCCATCTGAACTAACAAACACGAAGCTATGACTTACATAAGGTGTGAAAGTTCACCGCACGGTTTACAGTTTACTCCAGGACCTTCCTTAAATGTTTCAAAATCTCAAACAATAGTTAGTTCTTTTTTTTTTTTTTTGAATGTCTACTTGGGTCCTTTACCCTTTTTTTTTTTTTTAAAGATTTTATTTTATTTATTTATACAAGCATTGGGTACAGTCAGAAGCACAAGAGGGTGAGAGAATTCACCAGAGCCAGAGCGGGGAACAGAACAGACAGATTGATGAAGAAATACACTGCTGAGGGGAGCAGCGGGCGGCAGGAGAGGTCTGCGCGCCATGTGGGACCCTTGCCTGGCAGCTGGGGATTGAACCAGCGCTGCAAAGGCTACAGGCAGCTTCGCAGCCCAGGCTCAACTGCTGTGCCACAGGGGAGGCCCAATAGTTAGTTCTTAATGCAAGAACCATTTAACTACTTATTGCATAAAGTCCTTAACTGGAGTGTTCAGCCCAGCTGATTATCAAAAGCTATTTATAAAATGCTTCAATACTGATGATATTGAACTGTCGATATTAAAGCTACCAAAACTTTGTAATGATCACAAAGATTTGGTCTCCCAAGTCAGAGTCCGAAGTCACGCTGCCTTCTGACAACACTGCAAAGATATCAGATACTTCTTAATCTCTCAATGTGGTATCTGCCTTCTATGTTTTCCGTTTATCATAATCTCCAACCATCTTCTTAATGTGTGACAACTTGCTCTTCAACTGCTTGCAATAATTCTTCTTACTTTTGTAATCTGCAGACTAACAAAAAAAAGGAATCATGTAAATTTAACAAAATAAAAACAAGTTATGTATCAGGTGCTGGAAAGGCAGAGGTGAACAAAAACAAGGAAATGTTAGTCATACAGAATTGTTGGGAGTGTTAAATGAATACAGATAAGATAGCTGGCAGTATCTATAGTCACATTGGCAGCTGGTTCTCTTTATTCAGTCATACCTTTTAACCTGAGTTTTACAAAGGATACACTTTTTTCTAATGATTTGTAAAGTGGCCAATAAAATTTATTGGTCACTAAAAAATACATGAACAAACCAACAAATTGGTGTATAGGCTGATTTGTGAAAGGGAACTAAGTAAATGGGGAATGACACAGGATGTTTTAAATACCCTTTTAAATTCTTGCATTAAAAATCATGATGTCAAAAAAATCATGGTCTTGTCATTTTTTAAATATTTTAATATAAAATCTTCTTTTAATATCCAAAAAGTTTTAAGTCCTTTAAAGACGGATGATGTCAGTCTTTACATGGAGCAACAAAAGATGTAAACTGACACAACGCTTTGGAAAGCTGATGGAACCTACCCACTGCTAAACACACACATGCCCAGACACCCTACATTTTCACTCCTGAGTATCTTGCAAATGTGTGCATATGAACAAGACACTTAAAAAATGTTTAAAGTGGTATTAGTTATAAAAGTCATATATTGGGGAATAACCCCAAAATTTATTAACAATAGAATGGGTAAAGTTATATTTTAATCACACAATAAGTTATGTCAATGAGACATAGCTATACTCTAAAACATGAGTGGATCTAACAGAGAATACTGAGCAAAAGAAATGACACACAAAATATATACTGCAAGATTCCATTCATATAAAGTTCAAAATAGACAAAGTTAATGTGTGATATAGATGCTGGCTACCTCTGGGGAGAGGGTAAAAACTGTAAGGGGATATAAGAAGGGGCTGCTATGGGTACCAGAAAATGTATCTCTAAGTGCCAGGTACAAAGAGGTGTGATCTCTTTGTGAAAATTCACCCAGTTATGCACTTATATTTGTGTGCCTCTTGGTATGTATTTTTAAACTTGAAAGTTTTAAAAAATAAGTATTAGTTATAGCTGCTAAAATTAAGGTTCAAAAGTCTCAGTTTCGGTTTTCATATTGCAATTACAGGGTTATAATCCGTGAATGTGTAATAAAGAATTCATAGAGATTCTTAAGGTTAAAGGAAAAAAAATACATAATAGAAAAGTTCTTTCTAAAAGACTCTTACAATCCAGGATACTTACTCCCTTTACTTGCTTCAGCCTATTGTATTCATCAGCAGCAGCCTATTAATGAGAAACACAAGATAATATGTTTATGGAGTAGTGTGTCTTTCAAAAATAATATTCCTAATGTTATATATATATATATATATTTTAAGATTGATTGATTGATTTATACAAGCACTGGGTACAGTCAGAAGCGCGGGAGGGTGACAGAATTCACCAGAGCCAGAGCAGGGAGCAGAGCAGGCAGAAGGACCGAAGTACACTGCTGAGGGGAGCAGCAGGCGGCAGGAGAGGTCTGCGCACCATGTGGGACCCTCCCCTGGTGGCCGGGGAGCAGCCGGGAATTGAACCAGCACTGCAGAGGCTGCGGGCAGCCTCGCAACCCAGAGCTCAACCGCTGTACCACCGGGAAGGCCCCTAATGTTGTATTTTTGAGATGAAAATGCGAGATTGTGAAAATAATATAGGGGATTAAAATAATAAAGTCTTAATTTCCTAAAACTATTATGGTCTTCAGTAAAGTCCGAAGGAATCCAGTGATGAGGCATTTATGACACTAACATGAGTCATGTTCCAGCCATACAGGCAAGCATCTCATTTGTTCTGCTGCCCCTCCTTTCTCACCAGCCAGTTCATGTGCCATATTGACATCAGAGAGATTTCTTATAAAGCACATGTTTATACCCCTTTATATAAAATAGTCTGCGTTCCCCCTTTAACTTCTATACTAATCTAGTCTCCTACCTTTCCAGTCTTAGTGCCCATCATTTGCAATTCACTTAAAAAATCCTGCATGCTTCTGTTGCCAGATTTTGATCAAGTCTCTTTATGGTTGTAATCCTGCAATCCTCTCCCCTTCCATCTAGAGAACTGGTGTTGGTTACCTTTGACGGAAGCATCTCCTAAATTCGTTATCCCTTTTCTGAGTGGCTATATTACTTTCTACTAGACTGTTAAAAGAATATGACATTAGTTACAATAGATAGTGTAGATGTCAGTTTTTCTCTTAGAACATGAGCTCTTTAAGGGCAGAGGTAAGATTTATTTACCTTTCTAACCTTAGCACTTCCACATTATTTTTTTAAAAAAGATTTATTTATGCAACAAGAACTGGGGTTCAGGTCAGAAGTGCGGGAAGTGAGAGGGTTCACCAGAGACAGAGTGGGGAAATGAACAGGCAGATTGACCAAAATACACTGCTTAGGGGAGCAGCAGGCAAGACAGGAGAGGTCTGTTGCTCAACTTGGGTAGCTCCCTGGCTGGCCAGGGATTGAACTCCCACTGCTTCACAGTGCTGTGCTTAACCACTTGTGCCACTAGGGCGGCCCCAGTTCCACATTATTGAGGACACAATAACAATCAATAAATGTTCACTGACTTGAGATTCATGACAACACCATATAGAAGTCAAAAGAAAACAAACAAATCAAACTATAAATAAAAATCAAGTACTTCAAACAGAAAAGCAGACCATCCCTATAAGAATGGTAGAATATCTAATAAAATGAAGCAGAAAAAAATGAAAAATATAACTTCTAATAAATATAAGTGAAAACAGACTTAATTACTAAGACATGAAGTAATTTTTCAGGTACAAAATGTGAGGTGTGGGTCAGTTGAGCCCATTATTATTATTAGTGGTGATGCAGTTGATATGATCTTTTTGGAGGGCAGTTTTACAACAACAGTTTGTTTAAAAAAATATTTAATTTATTTATGCATGCAAGAACTAGGATGTAAGGCCAGAGGTGCGGGGGGTGAGAGGATTCACAAGAGACAGAGTGGGAAGCAGAACAGGCAAATCTACTGAAATACACTGCTGAGGGGAGCAGTAGCAGGCGAGACAGAAAAGGTCTGCTGCGCCATATGGTTTAGTAACCTGGCCAGGGATCAAACTCTTGCTGCTGTGGCTGGCTACAGCTTGATAGTACTGACACTTAACCCCTTGCACCACCAGGGAGGCCCAGTTTTACATCAACAGTTTTACCAGTTTGTACATAACTTCTGACTTAGTCATATCACATTCTGGAGTTTGTTCTAGCTAGATAATCTGATAAGCACACAAGTACAAAAAGCTCACTGTGTATTAATGACTACTCAGGGAGGTATGTGTGTGTCAGGGGAGCACACATACTAAATATCTATCCATAAAAGACGACTTTTAAGCAAAGTATGGTACAACCATAGAACTAAAATTTGTATTTGTAGCTCTTTGTTTTTTTAAGATTTTATTTATACAAGCACTGGGGTACAGGCCAGAGGTGCGGGAGGGTGAGAGAATTCACCAGAGACAGAGCAGGGAGCAGAACAGGCAGAAAGACCGAAATACACTGCTGAGGGAAGCAGTGGGCGAGACAGGAGAGGTCTGCCGCGCCATGTGGGAATCTCCCTGGCCAGCCGGGAATTGAACTGGTGCTGCAGAGGCTGTGGACAGCTTCACAGCCCTGTGCTCAACCCGCTGCACCACCGGGAAGGCCCTTATTTGAATTTTTAAAGAAAGAATGAATTGTGTTTATAAATAGGAAAAATAGTTATTTTCTCTTAACCATGCTTTGTAGTTTTTAACTATGTTAGTACACTCTTCAGTTTGGACAGTCCTCCATCTAAGCTTGATCTGAATTATCCTAAGAATTAGTTTGGGGGAAAAAAAGAATTAGTTTGGCAATTACTAGCAAAATATGTATCAACATTAGTATAAAGGAGATTGTACCTCCATAGATTAGAATAAATTCATGTGTAATATGTGGTTATAAGGCTTGACTTTACCATGTACTCTTCACTTTCTTCTCTATAGTCATCCAACTCTTTATCCAGACGAGAGAGTTCTTTATTGACCTCATCAAGTTCTGCTTGTAAGCTCTTGTATTCCTGCAGATCAGTGTCAAAGTTTCTCTTGTAGAGTTGTCTTTGTTGATCTGAAGTGATAGGTGGGTATTCCCTAAAAATTGAAAGAGAGAAGGACTATACATGTTTTCGTGACAGACATGAATTCAGTGGTTCTTCTTCAAAGAAAATAAAGGTGGTGGAATATGCAAAAAGACAATGTCTTATTTTCTTTTTGGTACTTATAGGGAGAGGAAGGTAGGGTTCAAATAAGTCTTTTAAAACTAATTATATACCACTCATTGGGTTTTTTTAAGTGCGATACCTACATAATTTTAGAAATAAAGTTGAAAATCTCACATGAAATAAAAGGTTCAAGTGGGAGGAACTCAATAATTCTGAATATACAATTACATGATAATGGAATAAACTTTTGTTTAAGTTTTTAAAACTGGAATTTAGAGCACAAAGTATGTTTTCATCACTGCAGTAGTAGACCATAAACTGGCAGCTGGCTGTTTTCTGCTACTACCTATGGTTTTTCTCTTTTGTTTTTTGGTCTTGGTCTCATTTTCTAAGAGGAAGTAGCTTATTGTTAAGTCCTTTGATTATTAATCTAAACATTAAAATGTACATGTATTAAAATGTATCCTCACTGTAAAAATCAATAAGTAATGAATTAAACTATAAAAACATTCCTGAAATTTTTATCATTTGTATCTCTCAATATTCTTCACAGATGAAGGTGAGGCTATTAACTCATAATCCACTGAGGAAATACTCAGAATTGTTTCACAGGTCGAAGAAATTTCATTGCAACATGGAATTTCAAATTTCAGACCTAAGATACAAAATATCTTAATTTTACGGGGTGGGGAGAGGGATCAAATGATTTGCTCAAAAGACAAATAAGAATTCAGAATTCCTAAAAAGTTTCATTTTAATCTCTCATGATACAAATAGACAAATATTTTAGAGAGAAATGACTGAACAAAAAGAAAAGTTCTTGGAGAGAAAGGGGAAGTATGAGAACTACTGTTGTGAAGGGGATTTCAATCACTATATCCCTTCTCATACTTGAGAAGCAATGTCCTGACTAACTACCAATCCTACTGCACATGTTTATGGTTTTTGTCCCACTCCTTAGAATACATGGGCATCAAACGGCTACACATCACACATGAGTAGAGTTGAGATAATAAAACCACTGACACACAAAGGAACTTAACCACAATTTGGCCAGGACACTAAATTGTTATTTCAATTGCTTACAAAAATATTGCCAAAGTCTTTTAGATTAAACTTTTAAAAGAAACTGATCTCATCATGAAAGCTTAATTAAAAAAGTAAATGCCAAAGAAAAGCCATAGCATTGTCTGGGCATTTTATAATCAGTAAAACAAAATTCCTTGATACTTTTATTTATTTGAAAGACTTACCTTCAGTGACTATGGGTAAAAAGTTAGGGCACTGGTGAGGTTTACCAGACATTCTGTTGGGGGAAGCTGCGAGTGTTTTAAGCATAGTTGCAGACAAACAAATCCCTACATGCCTATTATTACCACAAAAAAGTGTTAACTAAAGGGAAAAAACAAACAACAACAACAGCAAAAACTATTGATCTCCAGCCCTGGTTGGCAAGGAATGAGATCAGATCATCAATCTAGTTTGGGAGGTAACAGCTATAAGACTTGGCTGCCCTCTGCTAGTCACCAGATGTGCAGGTGGTCAATGAGAAAGAAATTGGCACCTGATCCAGTTCTCCTCCAGCTCATCACAAGACTCGCCACCAGTTGTGTAGTCTGTCTCATAGTAGTCTTGTTCTGTTCTCCTTGACCTTCCAGCTCTTCCCTTTGTGGCAGACCTTTTTGAAGGTGTCTCAAAGTTACTGCTGCTGCTCTGCCGAGGCTGCCTGATGTCATTCACAGGTGAAGTCACTGGAAGCTCCTGAACCACTTCAGGGACCCTAATAAAACAGGGATCATTTTTCAGTGATCACTGAACACAACAGTCTTTTGCCAGCACACTCTAATCACCAATAATAGCAACAACAGCACCGAGACATCTGCACGCAGGTGCACTCAGTCAAGAAGTTCATCACCTCAACACCAAGCAGCCCACACCACTAGTTTCTGCCTTCAACCTAGCGAGAGCTCATGCCCTCTAATATGTGTAGGAGAGCCCATTTGCAAGCCTAAGTACAAGGAATCAACGATTCCAGGTTGTTAGGAAAATAATGATCATGATTCTTTTCAACAGGTTCTTCCAGTTCCATGGAATGCTGAGTGGGAAAGAGGAATGCACAGACATATCTACCTTTGGAAGCTGACTCTAAGATCTCTGCAACAATAATTTTAGACTACTATTTAGCCATTCTTTTTCCACGTCGAAATCTTTAAAAATAAATGACAAAACCTGAAGTAAAAACATTAAAATCTGAAAAAGCTAACATACATCATATAAATTAAGAATTCATTGAGAAGGGCCTCCCTGGTGGTGCAAGGGGTTAAGCACTGCACTATGAAGCAATCCACAGCCTCTGCAGCACAAGTTCAATCCCCAGCCGGCCAGGGAGCGGCCCATATGGCACAGCAGACCTCTCCTGTCTCATCCACTGCTCCCCTCAGCAGTGTATTTCAGTCAGTCTGTCTGCTCTGCTCCCCATTCTGTCTCTCAACTCTGGCCTGTACCCCAGTTCTTGTATGCATAAATAAATAAATCTTAAAGAAACAACAACAACAAAACAAATTGACTATTAAAAAGTCAAGATTTTTTTCCTTATTGCTTTCAATTTACAGAAACTATAATCTTGCACCTTACTACAAGGTTTACTCTGTTTTCTAAGTGACCCAGAACTCTTTGCTTCTGTTATAAAAGCCTTGGGTTTATATCCTATTTATCAATTTCTTCTAGACTCCCAAAACTTTGGGTAGGGGGAAATGTGTGTAATCGGGAGTGGTAGTAGTATTTGTTTCTTCTCAGTTTAATGGGGCTTTGTGTGCTATGTTGAGTCTACTTGTAGAGGAGGGAAAATGTGATTTTCTCCTGAGTCAATGATTAACAAGTTCTTAGACATTCTGCCAAAAGTGCCAGGTACTGTATTTCTTGCCTTGAGGTGACCAACAAAACCTTTAGAAGATAGAGGGTATATTTGAGGGGGTGGGGGCCTGAAGGGGAAGAAACAAAAGGGCAAAAAATATTAGAAAACAAAATATTTTAGGGCCTCCCCAGTGGCGCAGCAGGTTGAGCACAGCACTGCAGAAGCTGTCTGCAGCTTCTGCAGTGCTGGTTTGATTCCCAGCTGGCCAGAGAGATACCCACATGGTGCGGCAGACCTCTCCTGTCTCACACACTGCTCCCCTCAGCAGTGTATTTCAGTAGATCCACCTGTTCTGCTCCCCGCTCTGTCTCTGGTGAATCCTCTCACCACCCCACACCTATGGCCTGTACCCCAGTTCTTGTATGCATAAATGAATCTTTAAAAAAAATCAAAGCAGGTCTCCTGTTATGATTTTAAATGATATTAGATATTGGTATTATAAACATTTACCTTGGAAGTTTCAGTCCTCCCCTCTTCCCACACCCTTTTTTTTTATATAAGAACTGGGGTACAGGCCAGAAATGCAGGGGGTAAGAGGATCCACCAGAGACAGAGTGGGGAACAGAACAGGCAGACTGACTGAGATACACTGCTGAGGAGAACAGCGGGCGACACAGGAGAGGTCTGCCTCGCCATGTGGGTTTCTCCCTGGCTGGCCGGGGATGGAACTCATGCTGCAGAGGCTGTGGATTGCTTCATAGCACAGTGCTTAACCCCTTGAGTCACCAGGGAGGCCCTTCCCACACCCTTTAAAACACTTAAAGTAACATACTTTATATGGTGTGAAAATATTCTTAGAAAGGAGAGCATACATACATTTAAGAGTTAGGGAATGCGTGTGCTCTCAATAATCTTCAAACCCACTTTTTAGATACAAGTCCTAATAGTTCAAAATCCATGCAGGAAGGTAAGGTGAGCAGTAAGAAAAGGTAAGCAGTAAGGTATTTCCTAATGCTCTACCCACCAGGAGCCCTTCACTCAGTAAGCATCCTCAGTCCCAACAACTAAGTGTCTCTGGTCCAAAAGTTTGTCCTTTTGTAGCTTTTGAATTCCTTTTAAATTCTTTACTCACTTGTTTTATTCTCACATATATCTCCTCCCATCCTTTTGCCATCCTTACCTTGCCTCTCAGTGTAATTATTGTGCACTGCCTTCTGCCCTGTTAGATTGCAGTCTCTGTGAGAGCATGGACATAGTATTCCCAAGGGCACCTGGCCTACAATTGTGTGCATGGCAGGTGTTCATAATTACAGAATTGAAAAACACATCCACAAGAAACCTCTTCTCTGATGACACACAGTTATCAGTGGGAGAAGAATAACAATGCATCCTCAGTGACCAGCATCAGCCTCAGTAACGAGCAACATGGTGCTCGTCATGCACATGGTATTTTAGAACTGCCACCATTATTGGGGGGCATATATCCAAACCTTGCCATCAGAGAATTCCATCTTTCTAGCCTTGGAGATGGCAATGATCCAAAAAGGGCCAATCAGAATCCTTATAAGCTTTGATAAAGGAAATTTCATTGTCTGAGTCCTCAACTAGAAAATCAATTAAGTTTGGGGAATGTGGATCAACATCCTGTTACAACAGAAGCTGTACTGAGAATGAAACCAACAGGGCAACAAGAGCACTAATCTCTTCTGTGTAATCGTATGATGCCATGGCTGAAGCTGGAACCCACCCACCCTGGGCCCTTATGTGAACCAGAGAATTACTACAACTTGCATAGAAGTCCTAACAGATCATCCTATCAGACCAAACAATGGTCTCATTTGGCAATCTAAGATGTTAACCTTCCTGGAAAGTTCTGTATGGTATAAACATTCAACTTCCTTCATTTATAAATGTGATTAGACTGTAGGTAATGTACCTAATAGGGGTCTCCCAAGTTCATCTAGAAAGGGTTGAGAATCAACCATCTTCAACTCAATTCTAACTGCCTTCAGGTTCTAAGGTTTAGGGCATTATGATAAGCAAAGGAGCCACACATGAGCATAATTACCATATTCCACATATAAGAATGCCAGTAACAGGCTACACAAACAGATGGTGATAGGCATTGAAGGGGAGAAGAATGGGTTGCATCCATATTGCCACTTTGACATGTGGAATGTTTTGAGCAAAAAGATGAAGTTCTCCCTTGTCTTACGTTTTGAGTGACTTTATGACCAGTGAGAATATTCTCTGTGGTCTCTGCCAGCCGAAAGATGCATGTACCGGTAGGCATGTGGCAAATGACCAAACTGGCTGTGGATCTGAGCTTAGGAACTTTAGAGGCAGCCTATTTTGTTCAAAAGAGGAGGTGGGGAAACACTTGATTCCCTGTGTTTTGGAACAACTGTGAAAAATAACATGGCCTGGTAGAGTTTATCCCCGGTTCTAACTCTGTAAGTGAACTTTGTGGATCTTATCAGAACTGCGTATTTTGTACTCTGTGGGGGTGCCTCTTACACCTATAATTAATCCATGAAATTGATTATAGGTTTGAACCATTATTAATAGTAATTTAAGATCCTACTTGTCAGTAGCCAAACAATGGATCCTAATTGACTGTATTTGAAAGAAAAAAGTTTCTAGAGTGCTCATCTAAAACTGTCTTATTAATACCTATGGGAAGATAAAAAGAAAAGAGCCTTAGGGATTCCTTTAACCAGATGACATTACAAAGTCCTTTTACCTCTGCATTCTTCAGAAGATCCTATCAAATTTAGAGAAGAGTTGGAAGGATGTATGGACATTTACATCCTCATTCACAGCGCCCTGACTGGCTGCTAAGGGGTGTTTTTCCCACTGGTGATTACATTGTAGTTAATAGACAAGTCAGGCCGTCAGGCCTCCTGAGGGAAATCCAGAGAAAAGTCAAAATTTTGCCCAGGGCCTTCCATGGAAATTATCAGGAAATGGCTCAGCTGGAAGCAGATGTTCACTGGCTGATACTAAGCAATAGGAGAGATTTTTTCCCCCCCAAGGTGAATTGGACTAAGGTTAAAAGCTGCACCCAAAAGAGGGCAAATATCTGAAGGCCTTTGTTAACCACTTTATTCACACTTTTTATTTGAAGTCATACTACATTAAAACCTGAAGTTCTAGGACCTCCCTAGTGGTGCAAGGGGTTAAGACGCAACCTATGAAGCAATCCCCTGCCACTGCAGTATGAGCTCCATCCCCAGCCAGGGAGGTGACCCACAGGGCACAGCAGACCTCTCTAGACCTCTCCAGTCTTCCCCCCACCCCACCGCTGCTCCCCTCAGCAGTGTATTTCTGTCAATCTGCCGGTTCTGTTCCCCACTCTGTCTCTGGTGAATCCTCTCTCTCTCTCACACACACACATACACCCGCATCTCTGGCCTGTACCCCAGTTTTTGTATGCATAAATAAATAAGCCTTTTAAAAAAATCACAACAGGATTCACTGATTAGATAAAAGCTAGAACTTCAAAAAAGTGTTGTGATGGAGAAAAAAAGAATACACATCATTATCTTGATTCTTTCTGCTTTGGAATTTATATTAATTCCTCTTGGGCTTTTCCTTTAAAAAAAAAAAAAACCAACCTGAAGTTCCAGAATATAGGAATCTTTTTTTAAAAAAAAGATTTATTTTATATATTTATGCATACAAGAGCTGAGGTGTAGGCCAGAGGTGCGGGGGAAGGGGGAGGAAGGGTGGAAGGTTTCACCAGAGAGAGTGGGGAGCAGAAGAGGCAGACTGACTGAAATACACTGCTGAGGGGAGCAGCAGGTAAAACAGGAGAGGTCTACTGTGCCATATGGGTTAGCTTCCTGGCCAGGATCAATGCTGCAATGGCTGCCCACAGCTTCATAGTGCTGAAACTTAATGCCTTGTGCCACCAGGCAGGCCCAGATTATAGGGTGCTTTTGGTTTTCATCTAAATTGAAAATCTTTTCCCTGAAGCAAACTAAAGAAAACGTAGCTGGGTGGGCAGATTAGCACTTCTGATTTTCAGACTACAACCCAATTCTTTGAGAAATTAAAAATAACTTTCATCTTACAAATATTTGCAAAACCAGTAATGCAAGTCAAAGTTCATCTATGTTTACCACAGCAAAACCTTCCTTTTCATCTCAAAATGCTTGCAGGTACTGTAAAATATCTGGCCTTGGGAAGCAAGAGTGCTTCTTGGAGGAATTTCATATTTTCTCTGAGCCTTTGGGATATGAATTTTCTAAGATCTAAGAGTCATTCTTTGAAATGCAAACTTTAGAGGGCCTCCCTGGTGGCGCAGTGGTTGAGCGCTGGGTCGTGAAGCTGCCCGCAGCCTCTGCAGCGCTGGTTCGATCCCTGGCCACCTACGAGGGTCCCACATGGTGCGCAGACCTCTCCTGCCGCCCACTGCTCCCCTCAGCAGTGTACTTCATCATTCTGCCTGTTCTGTTCCCTGCTCTGGCTCTGGTGAATTCTCTCACCCTCCCGTGCTTTTGACTGTACCCAGTGCTTGTATAAATAAATAAATAAATCTTTAAAAAAAAATGCAAACTTTAGAGAGAGATGATTCTTATCAAGAGAAAAAAAAGAGTTTGAATTCAACTGTTCTTTTCAAACTAGAGAGTATTATATTTTACCTGACTCATGGCTACAATTTTAGAATGAAAGCTATAAGGTCTCTGCATCTGTCTGTATATGTGTGTGTGTCTATATAAGTTGATATTTCTCTACCTCCAGATGATTTTGCTAAAATTAATTTGGCAAAGAGGTCTATTTAATTGAATTATAGATAAGTGCTTATATAAAGTATTTCTAAATCTCAGAAATATCTATTAGAAATTAATCCCAAATTTTTTTCAAGTTCATGTGATCTAGGATAATTTTCAGTAAATAAAAGTCAATTTAATTAATATAGGCATATCTTTAGAGTTATCACCATTAAATATTAGTACTTATATTTTACCTATGTTTACTAAAAGTAAAATATTATTAAAATATTATTAAAAGCTCATATTATCTGTAATAAAATTTGTTAGCAAGAAGAGTAACTTGAAATGATGCCTACCGTAATTGTTAAGAAATAAATAAATGTAACTGGAGTAAGAATCTTTAAAGGACTTTACCACAATGGTTGTTTTAGGTTATGTCTAGTGTACTTAAAGTTTCCAAAACCTCTATAGCAGGCCTCCCTGGTGGTGCAAGGGGTTAAGCACCGCACTATGAAGCAATCTGCAGCATGAGTTCCATCCCCAGGCGGCCAGGGAAGTCCTAAGCCCCTACCCCATTCTGTACCTCAGGATAGCACATAATCTTCAACTGCTCAATTTGCCAATCTTTGGACCCATGGTACATACATAAGTAAATTTTACTTTCTCCTGTTAATCTTTTTTTTTTAATTTTTTTTACATCATTGCTCATTTTTAAACAATATTTACTTCCCCCCCCCACTCTCTCAGGTATAGTCCCCATAGAATTTCCTTCACCAAGGCACCCCTGCACCATTACCTCAGTCCCCTGTGCTTCTCCCTCCCTCCCTCTGATCCTTCTCCCTCCTCCTCCCCTGCAGGATGTCTCTGATTTATAATTGTCTGTTTCTGCTTTGTTGTGTTTTGTATTGTTATCATTTTTTTACACTGATGTCTTATTTGGTTCCCCTATATTCCTGCTATAAGTGAAACCATCTGATATTTTCCCTTTTCCTTCTGATTTATTTCACTGAGCATAATTCCTTTCTAGCTCCATCCATGTTGCTGTGAATGGCATGAGTTTATCTTTTTTGATTGCTGAATAATATTCCAGTGTGTGTGTGTGTGTGTGTGTGTGTGTATATATATATATATATATATATATATATATATATATACCTTTACCACATCTTCTTGATCTAGTCATCTATTTTTGGGCATTTGGGTTGTTTCCAGGTTTTACTTATTGTAAAGAGTGCTGCAATAAACATATCTCCTGTTAATCTGTCTTATGTCAATTTAATTTTTAGGCCAGTCAAAGAACCCAAAAAGGAAGCAGGGAAAATTTTCTGCCCATGCAGCATGAAAACAGTGGTGGGAGTGGAGGGAGCAGGGTAGAGGATATCAATGGAGAAAGGGAACAAGAGGACTTTCTGGAATACTTGAAATGTCTCTCTGTTGGTACGGTGATGTGACTTCAGTTTCACATGTGAAAATCCATCAAGTTGTACATCAAGATTCATGCTCTGTACTGAATATATGTTATGTTTTTTGGGGGGAAATCATAGTATTGAGGGACTTCATCCTTAATGTGGTCTTTACACAATGTTTCCCATCTAATTCCTTTTTTATCCACTACATCCACAAAGAGAGGTGCTTCTGAGTTACTAAGCACATTCAAGCAAAGACAGGGTATGACTTAATGTGCTTCCCTACCCCATCCAGGTGGATGTCCTCTGAATCCTCCATAGCACTCAGTACTCTGCTATGGACAGCTCTTGACAATTTCTATTACTCCCCAAAGGCTGCAAATTCCTTCTATTACTACCATACACATCAGGCTGTGTGAGAGATAATGTCACATTTGTATTTTTTAGCACCATCCCTCTTCCCTTTCTTTGGGGATCTAAAACTAAGCATCACATTTGCATTTTCCAGGTATTCATAAGTTTTGCAGTGTAGGTTGGGAGTGTCAACTGGTACAACCCTTAAGGAGCACAATTTGATTACACTGTCAGAAAAATAAGTAATTTTGTTAGCCCAGCAATTCTGCTTCTAATATTTTTCTTCAGGTACATTCATATATGCACAAGCTGATAAATGTGTAAGGTGAGTCCCTGCAGTGATGGTCATACCAAAACACTGGGGGAAAGTATATATCATATGGAATTAACAAAAAAATTATAGTTTACCTATTTGACAGTTTTACTATAAAATTCTAAGATATATTATTAATAATGCTAGTATTATTTAAAGGAAATAATCAGTATACATATTTAGCTAGGATATTTACTAGAATATAAAAGAAACTGGTAATACTAGCTGCCTCTAGGGAGAGGAACCAGGCAGATGGGGACAAAAGGTAGATTTTATCCCTTTTAAATTTTACATATATTTTACAAAATATGGCTATATTGGCCTATTCAAGAATAAATAAGATTTTAAGTTTCCCAAATGAATTTGTGGAAATAATTTCATTTGCATGTAATGGGATGACAAAATGTGGAAATGCCCGTAGCCACTCGGCCTTAAAATTTAGAAGCATACCTATATTACATTGTGCATCATAGATATTTATTTTGTATGTGTAAAATAGTCAAACAAATCATAGCTTAAAACTTTTAGGATTCTATTCCTTTTAATAGAAACATCTCTATTCCACTGTATGCTTTCATACTAACAGCTCAACTACTATGGGTTCCCCCACCAAATCCAAAGAGAATAGGGAAAATATTCTTCTTCCAAATCTTTCAAAATTGAAATCAACATCAAAGTGGATTCTGAAGACCAAAACAAAATATAGGGAGGGTATGGCCGACTGCCATTCTGCTTCCAAATTCCATTCCAGGGTAATAATAAAGTCTACTGTCTTCAAACTCATTCTGTAATTACCTCTGCTGCTGTGTCATCTTACAGAGTTCAAGGCCCAAATTGCTATTTGCTTAGAGTGGGTCTATATAACTCAGCTCACTAAATGGGGGCATGAAGTTGGAGCTAAAACTTTGAAGCAACAATAAGCTTTTGAGCAGATATACCTTTAACTTAGAACAATCAGACTAGCTGTAAAGCTTTTTTTTTTCCTTGCTGATCTACAAAGGAATTTGGAGTTCTAGAATACATATGAGGTAAACAGTATACACCATATGTATTGGCTCCATTATACCCTCTCGTGTGTGTATATATGCATAATATATAGGAGCACTAATTTATCATCTTTAGGGAAAAATTATATTCAAGTCCTTATTAGTATCCCTAACATAACTTTTTTCTCACTAGTCATTATATTAAATTAGGCTTTAGGACAAACTAAAACCACAATGAAGATAACATTTCAATAACAATAATGGCACCTACTCTACTCGGAAACTCACTTGGGTTTTTTACTATATATAAAACAAAACAGAGGGACTTTGAGTTTCAATCCCACAGCAATATAGAGGATCTAGCACAGCAAAGGAAATCTCAGAATTCCTGAATTCAAATGAAGTCTCCTTGTTAAATACAAACATGTGGATAGAGGATAATCAACAAGTAATCTCTTCATCCTTCTAGTGAAGCCTTATAATTACAAGCAAAAGGAAAGCTGAGAGTTGTACTCATCTCTTCTGTCAATCACTACCACCCTTTCATCTTCACCTAAACTTCAAACCCAAAAAATAGTATAGAGATCCACATTCCTAGAGAGAAAGAACCCAATCTACCCTTTCTCTATTAAATCAACATGAGAACAGAATCATTTTCAGTTTAGAAGGGAAAGGCCTCATTAACTCACAGACCCACCCTACTCCATCTTACAAGTAGCCCTAGGCCACCAGCTCAACACAAAGATCAATTAGTCTGTCTCCAGGCTTTATACAAACTTGGATTTTTTTTAAAGGAGTATGACACAAAATAGCGACTAATTTATAAACATGTGCAAATAATTCTTTTATAATCTCATTCTATCAGAAGGAAGATGCTACTTACGGTGTTGATTTATAGGAAGACTCTGGATACAACTGCTTGTCATTCATTTTGCCATTGACAGAGTATGCAAAAGAACCGTCCACTCTTTCCACATAGTCAGATGGGGGAGGAGGCATGTCTTGAGTGCCTGCAGACACGTTTTTAATCTACAGAAACAGCCCCAAGAGACATAGTTATTATTTAGTCTTTTAATTAAAGGAAGTAGAAATGGGGGGTGGGGGGAAATAAAAATAAAATTATCATCTAATATTATTGGGTTCATTAAATACTTGTTCATTAAATTAACTAATTAAATTAACTTGTAATGATTGCCTTGTTATTGGTGTTTTTACAAACACAAACAGTACTACTGTTAGCTTAGCAGGTCAAGAATGTACTACAAAGAAGAAAAACATCCCAATCACCTGATTCTCATTGTGACATGATCAAGTGGTAACTGCTCCACTGCTATAGAAGACTATTGTCATTTTATCTATGCTAGGTCTGTGTTAGAGCAAGAATTTTCATTTCTAATAAGGTCTAAAGTAATGCCTTTGCTGCTGCCTGGGCATCACACTTGGAAAACCATTAACGTAGGACAAGGGACACTGTCTCTTCTAAATCCATTCACCTAAATAGGGAATATTAAAGCCAGAGATTAAGAAGTTCACACAGATTCTGTCATATTTCTTTAGTAAGAGATTTATTCTCCCTTAATGTACATTCTCAGTGGCTCTATTAATAACATACACAGCATAATCACATCACTGTCTTTGCTTACTCTTTACCATCTCTTCTTATTTCTTTCTTACGTGTAAGTGAATTTGTCCTAGGATATTACAAGCACTAGAGACTAGATCTTGTTAACAGGAAAGGTCTCCCACAGAACCTTTGGGAAAAAGTTTTCCGAGCGTGGTGGAAAACCCATTAGACAGCAGCATACCAATTGGATTCCAAATATTACCTGTTAGATTTCATATAGTATAACCAAAAACTTTAAAATTTCACCCAAAAACTTTTAAATTAGTACCTAATAATTAATAATTTTTAAAATCGATTTTTAAAAAAACAACTGCTAAACCCAAACAAGTCACAGAGTTGTTTCAAAATAAAGAACAGAAACAATGTATAGAAAAATGTCAAAATAACCCCATAAGTTTTTTACTGTGAAAAAGAAAAACTTTGGGGGGGGTCTCCCTGGGGGAACAGGGGTTAAAGACAGCACTATCTAGCTATCATGAGCCACTGCAACATGATTCAAGGGAGCTGACCCACATGGTTTAGCAGACCTCTCCTGTCTCGGCCACTGCTCCCCTCCGTGTATTTCAGTAAAATCTGCCTGTTCTGCTCCCCGTTCTGTCTCTGGTGAATCCTCTCACCCCCCAGTACCTCTGGCCTACACCCCAGTTCTTGTGCACATAAATAAGTAAATCTTTAAAAAAATAAAAAAAGAGAAACTTTTTGAAAACAGAGGGTGGTACTGCCTTTAGCATGCTGGTGAGAAAAATGGCATCGGGATTACCTAGGCTCACTCCAGATCTGCCGGCTTAAGTCCTACATAAAGCCTGTCTCCTCATCTTCAAGAAATAAGAAAAACCACCCCTTTTGAACAGAGTAAACAGTTATAAGATGTTGGATTCTAGAATTCAAATCATCAGAGCTAAACAAAATTTTAAATATATGACAACGACTATTGATATTTTGCTATTACAATTAGGTTCAACATCAATACCCTATTTCCCTGCCATATACACACCTTCCATCTCTAGTTTTCTGGTTGAACTTAGCATTAAAACTACTAAACTGCTTTTTCCTGATTATCAGGGCAATATCACATTCCAGAAGATATTTACGCACCCTTCAAAGCACACAGAGGTATTCTTATTATTTAATATCCCAGTGAGTCAAAAAGGAATGGAATCATTTCCTTCTGAAAGTAGAGTTTGGCAGCAACTGAGAAACCAGTGGGTGGGTTGCTAGGGAGTGTGCTCAGATCCCACCACAGGGGGGACGGGTGGGAACCATTCTTGGCTCCCACTGAATTCCTTAGGACTTGACACCATAACCAAGCTTCATAGGCAAATGCTCGGCCACGCCAAAGGCCAGTTCTTACCCTGGAGACCTCAGAAGAATTTTAAAAGACTTCCTTCTCTTAAAAACCCACTTTACAATTCCCCAGGTATTGTCTCCCCATTCGCTGTGTTAGCTTGCGGATTTTCCTACTGGAAACCAAAACCTTACCAAAAAGGTGCATGGAAGTCCTTATAGATATTTCTCACAGCCTGGAATGGAAAGTCCTTCCCCTTTTCCCAGCCCCCTAATCCTTAACTGGCTTCAAGTCCGTACTCACTACCAAGCAGTAGTAGTAAAGACAGCAGCCTCCTGGAAGCCTCCAACACAAGTCCCTGCAGGGGGAGGTACCTACCTGTCCTCCTACTTGCCCCGTACCTGTGCATACAAACCTCTCTCCAGAGCACTTACGCTGCAGAACAATTGTTTACTCACACTATAATGACTTGAGTTCATATCTCTGACTACAGTAAGCAGAGAACTGTTATTAAAACCACTGTCTGCTACTTACAATGCACCAAATATTGCACTGATAAGACCATGTAGTAGGCACAACCTCATAGTATTCACTATTATTCTCTTTCAAAAATGAGGACGCTATGGCTCAGGGAGTTAGACAGCTTTCCCAAGAATCTATACCTAATAAATGATAATGTGTGATTCAAATACAGGCCTCACTCTAAGGCATCTACTGGGATTCACCTCTCCCTGGACAGGCTCCCACCTTGCTCTTTGAGTTTCTAAAGCCCAGCCATTTCTGGACAAATCAGAGCCCAGAGTGTGCTGCATCAAGGTTACCCTATTTCTTACTGTTCTTTTTTTTTTTTTTTTAAGATTTTATTTACTCATTTATTTATTATTTATTTTATTTATTTATTTATTTATACAAGCACTGGGTACAGTCAGAAGCGCGGGAGGGTGAGAGAATTCACCAGAGCCAGAGTGGGGAGAGAGTAGGCAGAAGGACCGAAGTACACTGCTGAGGGGAGCAGCGGGCGGCAAGAAAGGTCTGCGCACCATGTGGGACCCTCCTCCGGTGGCCAGGGAGCAGCCGGGGATCGGGGATCAGGGATCTAAACAGCGCTGCAGAGGCTGCGGGTAGCTTCGCAACCCAGCGCTCAACCGCTGCACCACGGGGGAGGCCCTATTTCTTACTGTTCTATTACTATATTATGTCCAGCAAAACATCTTATCCTTGAGCTGCTCTAAGCAGATTTTCTCAGAGTCAGCAGAACAAAACTAGCCTGACTGCTGACTTCATCCTTCCTTCAGCACAGGTCTTTCATTACTGAAACCTTTTTTTATACATATGCACAAAAGAATTTGAGGCTATGCTTGCTTGGCAGCAGAAACAATGCAGAGAAAATTATTAGCATGGCCCCTACTCAGAGATGATGTGCAAATGTTTCTGTGTTTCACAGACTTGTATTTCACATACTAGCCAGCTGTGATGCCAGATTCAAAGATAAATATGAAGGCTTCTTTGTCCTTAAAAGCAGCTCAAGAGTGTAGAGGCTGTGGCAAAATATACTTGAAAAGCAAGGAGTAAGATCATTATTTTTCTTCTCATGCTTCACTTTTCCTGGCAGAAGCAAAATAGTACTTTTTCTCGTGGTACCAATACAAAGTATGTATAAACTCCTGTTTTCAAATGAATGGGGCAAGTAGGAATTGTTCAACCTGTGCGACAAGGGATTTCTGAGTTTCACTCTTGACAAGATTCCCAGTCAACCTACAAAACTATTCTGTAAAGTTCATTAAAAAAAAAAACAAGAATACTATCATAGCACTTAGAGGATACTTTTAAAGATTTAGAACTGAAGAAAAACAAGGCTTACTTCTAAACAGCAAATGGTGTACAATTTTCCTCAAGTAACTTGAGAATAGCTCTAAGAAATTACAGGCAGAAGAAAACAGAGTGAAAACACAAATTAAGGAAGATTTGTCTTCTACTAACCATTTAAGGGAAAGAAAAGTTGGAAAATCAATCTTTCTTGAAGTCTAAGGCTGGAATTGCTGCTCAAAAGCCAGAGCAGCTTTTGGCCTAAAGGGTTAAATCACAACCCCAGCCCCCAGGGCCTTGCAGTGGGAGGTGTGCAGGCAGCAATAGCCAATCCACACAGCAGACCTCAACTGCTGCTCCTAACTGTATTTATTTATACAAGAACTGGGGTACAGTCAGAGGCACGGAGGGCAAAGGAATTCACCAGAGATGCAGCGGGGGTAGAACAGGCAGATGGACCAAAGACACTTCTCAGGGGCGCAGCGGGCGAGGCAGGAGAGGTCTGCCACGTCATGTGGGTTTCTCCCTGGCCAGCCTGGGAATTAAACCAGTGCTGCAGAGGCTGCGGACAGCTTCACAGCGCGTTGCTCAACCTGCTGTGTCACCAGGGTGGCCCACAAATAAATAAATCTTTAAAAAAAATTTAAAAATGAAAGTTTCTAGTTTCACTAGAAACTACATTCAAAAAGGACAAGCACTCACACACACCATGCTTAAGAGATTAGAATAATTAACTTAGGGTGATACACAGGAATGTTACTACGGTCCATATTCCTATCAAGAACAAACCTGAATGTTTCTGAAATATCAAGATAAAATCATTTCAAAAGAGATAATAACAATGGGGAAAATTTTTATTCAAAATTTAATTATACCTATTAGAAGTGCTCTGATTATGCCACTTGTGAAAAAAATCTTCGGAACAAATAACACCTAACACTCCTTAGAGTATTAATGAAATCACCCTAAATCCCTGAGGGGTGCTCCTTCAGAGTAGCTCTCCTCCAAACACCTGTCCTCATTGTTCCTTCCCCACCTGGGGCCATGTGGGGCACACCATCATGCTTACAACTACTGCCAATGAGCAGCCTCCCCACCCTGACCTAACTCCTTGAAGTGGAGATGGAATAAAAGGTCAAGATTTTAGGTCATTTTGAAAGAAAATCTTCTCTCACCCGAAAAAGTAGTTTGTACAAAACATTTCTCTCCACTCAAATAAATCTCATGTCACCTGGAGTTAGCACAACCAAAAAGGAGCAAGAACAGCCATTCCCCAACTTTCTCTTGGGCCTGTCTTCATTCACATGATGCCAG